AACAAAACAACAACAGCAGCAAAAACCACCGGAAAAAAAAGACAAAAACAAAAAAAAGAACACAAAAAACAATTAAGAAAAGACAAAGCTCACCTTATTCATCAATGAGGCAGAATCGATTGTGATCTTCTTCCCCATCGACCAGTTCGGATGCTTCAACGCATCAGCAACCGTAACAGTCTTCAGCTTCTCCACTGGCCAATCCCTAGAAAGTAACACCAACCAACCAGCACAATGGATACGAAATGCGCACATAAATCATTCCACAAGAAAGGTGTGCGAAAAAAAAGCCGCATTGCGACCACACCTCGGATACTATGTGTGATGCTTCGTCACGTTTGCTTTTTTGTGTGATGCTGGGATTGTGACCATACTCTGCATAACGTTTTGATTTACCAACGAGCCTAGCTCACTTGGTACACCCACAAACTTTTGAAATACAGCCTCAAGTTCGAATCCGGACCAGATACAATCACATGCCCGGCAGAATAACATAACTCTGAATTACCTGTGGCCGGTCAGCTTCAATGATGCTATATCAAGGCCGTCGCCCTTTCTTTTCTTTGGGAATTTTTTTTTATTTTTTTTTACCGTGTGATTTGGTTGGAATCGCTCGTTGAGGCAAACCCCTTGAAGCACACCCCACACAACAAAACAAACTACCAGCGATCTGATGAACAGCTGCGATGAACTCACTCAGTCGGAATCCGCACAGCCATGCGCCAGGGTCGTAACATTTTTTGGGTCCAAGTCCAGATTGAGGGGTGAAAACTCAAAAGTCGCGTCTTTGGCTGTAGGGAGGTCTGAGAACCGAGGTTCTATTCGAGTTAACATTTTGGCATGTCGTGTGATGAGAAATGCTACCAAGAACCCAAAACTTTCGGTCTTGAATCCGTGGTAACAAGGCGGCGCTTATACACCGAGCTCCGACCTTCACTACCCCTTTTTTGGTGCTTTTCCAGTTTTGCACTTTGCGCGATGCAGAGTCGTTTGTGGTGGCTCGCTTCTCATGCTGGGCGCTTTTCAGTTGGTTACAACTTTGAAGTTTGTCTACATCCCTCTGTGGGTTGTCTCATTGGAGCACATCAACGGAACTCGCTTGCATGATTTGGGTGTGGATGCTTTTTCTGATCAGGACTGGGGTCATTACACAGCGGAATACGTAGTAACAAATTAGCAGCGCATTGGTTTTATTATTCCTATTGGTCGTAACGACTCGTAAGGTTTTGAGTTACTTGTGCTCATCAATCTCAATACCCATCGTGGAGTTGACTGTGACCTCATGAAACCGGGCACTTGGCTAGCGGTCAAACGGCACATAGTACGACAGTCTTCCCCCGAATAGAACGTACGCCGTACGGTCATTATCGCTGCATCTAGACTTAAAAGTTTCCCTAAAAACAGGTATAATTAATTCGTTGTATTCATGCGAAGATGGTGGTAGGTCCTCGCCGCACCGATCACCAAATGTGAAAAAGACAAAAATATGGTGGGTGGGTGCATCTTTCCATGTTCTAGTGGAAGATTTTCATTCTTATTTTGCACATTGGGTGAATGGTATACGGTACTACTCACATGGAACTGGCTGCTGGCGATAAGGTAGTAGCAAGAAGGCAAGCGGCAGGGGGATGAGCTCACAACTCACTCCGCCATGTTTATCGATCACAAGCAATGCGGGAAGAAAACCCCGTGCGCGCGCGCGCGTGCGAGAGAGAGAGAGAGAGAGAGAGAGAGAGAGAGAGAGAGAGAGAGAGAGAGAGAGAGAGAGAAGCTCAGTCGCTGGCTACCATCTTCACCCGAAACGAGCGCCCAGTTACGAGAGCTGTATTCGGGGCGACTTTAAGTCTAGATACAGCGATAATGATGAGGCGTTCTATTCGGGTGAAGACGGTAGGGCGCATTAGCGGCCATAGTTTTGGTTGTCTTGGTGGTACAACCACTTGTGCTTATCTACTGAGCTAAGCATCCAGGCAAGCGGCAGGGAAGGTGGCAATGCAAAAAAAAAAAACACAAGGCGAGCAATCGGGTGGAAAGGCGAGCAGCAAGGAAGAAATGCAGCAGGGCAAGCAGGGCCACAGGCAGGAAGGAACCGGCGAGGCAGCAAGGCGTGGAGAAACGCAAAAAACAAAAAAAGGCCACAGGCAGGCGAGGCAGCAGGCAGGAAGACGTGCAGGTAAAGTGGGTACCAGTACAAGCAGCAAGGAAACAAGGCATAACGAATCTAGGCCAAACAGGCAGCAAGGCAACTACCCTGGATGAAATGTGGAGTTTAGGGTTCGGGGTTCTAGAGTTTTAGAGTTCTTAACAGTTTTAGAGCTTCAGAGTTTTGGGGTTTTAAGGTTGAGGGTTAAAAAAAAAAAAAAAAAAAAAAAAAAAAAAAAAAAAAAAGGTTGAGGGTTTTAGGGTCAAGGGGTCAGGGTTTAGGTTTCAGGGCAACGCAAACACAATCAGAGGTAATTACTAGCAAGGCAAGCAGACAAGAGGCCCACTCCCATAGCACAGAACAAAGCAGATAATTGCACAGAAAACTGCAGGTTCATGCCACCCTCAATAACCCGGGAGTCACAGATGGATTAGGGTCTGTCACCACCATGACACACACTAGACACACAGGCAGCATGGAGACGCAATCCCCCCCCTCGCCCCCCAAATAGTGCACAAGGTACCTCCATAAAGTACTTCCAAGTTGCAACATATTACTATTTGGTACATCATGAAGGGGTTGATTGCACACCGCGGACACAGAGAGACAAGAAACATAAGAAACACAGCACATGTAGCAGACACTGTAAAACATGAAGGGAGAGAGAGAGAGAGAGAGAGAGAGAGAGAGAGAGAGCTCTGACCTGAAGGCACCACCCGAAGCAGTCAAGATAATCCGGCGTAACCCATTTTCAGGAAGGCCTTGCAAACACTGCATAAAGGCAGAAGCAGTTCCAAATAAGGGGATTTTTTTTTTCTATTTTTAGACTTGAAAATTGAGTACCCATTGCATGTTGGCCAAAGGGAGTAATGTAAAAGGTGATTTGGGGCCTCCCTCCACTCCTCACCAAGTGTGCAAAATGAGAAAGAATTTTCCGCGCAGAACATGGGAAGATACAACACCATATTTTTTCTGTTATTTGTGCATGTGGTGAGTAGTGGAGCGAGGCCCTTCATCCATGTCCTGGCTTGTACAAAGCAGACGGGGTCCTCGTAAAATATTCGGATGAGATGGCAATCGATGCAAAATTACTAATTAGCTCACAGGGGTGAGATGCTTACTTGAAAGTTGAAAGTTGAAACCACCACCCTGGCTGTGCGGCCAAGAAAAAGTTCCGGTTCGGATTCATGAATTCAAAAAATATTGGTATGCAGCCCCCAAATCTGGAGATGCTGGCGGCTGCCAAAAACCCGAAACCACCACCCATCTTTCGTTGCCCCACCACACGCCTGGGCCGCGATCCAACCGAACCTGATCAGGATACCGTTTTCAATTCGCATAGAACCTGGCCGACGGGACGGGCCTTTTTCCCAGGTGTGATTTTTACCACAATATATATTCTATTTACTCTCTTTTATAATTATAAATCTGTCTAGAGTCAAATAGATTGAGAATCATATACAAATTAAATATAGATAAAATAGAATACAAGATAAAAGATATAAAAAAATTGGTAATTATAATTTATAATATCGACGATATATCATAAATCAACTATCCATTGGTATATGACGCCTTCGTTGGTTGCTCACCGTTTATTTTTTTCTTGTCTTCATTGTTAAATCCACAACGCCAGGAAACAGAGCCCATAAATATACCCAAGAAAACCTTAAGAAAGTAAATACTAAATAAACGCAGTTTGAAGTTTGAAGTTTAAAGTTTAAGGTTTAAAGTGCTAACTGCAAGGAACATGAATGTGGACGAAGCACAGAAATCCAGATTGCAAAATCACACTGAAGTCCAAGTAGTCAAAGCAAGAGCAGATAGCACAATGGAACCGAGTAACCATCCATTTGAGAATGATACAGAAGAATCGTGAGTCAATGTCCAAGCCCAATCGGGCAACACCAACAGCATAACCCAATGTAGCTCTCTCTCTTTGAATGGCGCCAGGCGCCCTACCTACTCTACAGCCTATCACTACAACTACAGCTATGAAGCAACCAGACAACTTGACGACCAGCGAGTGATGACGTCAACACCAATGCCGACCTCCTCTCCACCAGGTACGTCCTCTCTCTTCACCCTCACTCTCCCTTGTTATCCCACACAGCGCCCTTCACCTCCGAAGAACCACCTTCGCCCTCACCTCCCCTGTGCCCTCAGGCAGCCCGGCTATGGCCGCCAGCGCCCTGTGTACAGGCAGCGCCCTACCACCTAGCGCCTGCCTATCTCGCACCTCAGCCTAGCGCAGCGCAGCAGCACAACAGCTCGCATTCGCGCAGCGTGCCGGCATTGCCCGCAATGGCCAAGATCCCTGCCCACTCGCCCTGCTTGCCTATATGCCAGTGTTGCGTGTGGGCGGCCTCCCTTCAGCCTGCGTCTGGGCCCCAGTGCCTGAACCCAGCGCCATTTTTGTGTTTGAAGGTAGACCATGGCGCTGTGGAAGAAGTGTATAAATTTTGGCTTGAAAACAAATCTTATCCTTTCGGCTTGGATATCATTAGCGTGGTCCCCCACATCACACGATGCTGAATTTGGATTTTTGGGCCACGGAGGGGTCAGACAAGTTAGTAAGGTTGTTTACTCGACCCCTCTAGAGTTACCTCTGTATGTAATTACCATGGCAACCGCGGACCCGGACCCGGACATGTCTGGACCGAGGCCCAGACATTTGTCTGGACTGGTCCAGACGTCCGGTAATCCGGACATGCACCAGACAACTGGACAGGACCGGACCCGGACCGTCCGGAC